CTGGTTTGCAGACTTCCAGGAAACTCGGTTTTTAATGGACGCACGATGGGTCCGACGAATGTCGCTAAAAAACATTTGAAAACATACGGACTGGAACTGCTTCTTGGCTTCTTCTTCAATTAATATCATACCAAAACTTTAGAGTGAATCTGTACAAAGGGAGTTTTTAATCAGTGCAATTTTTTATTTATTTGGTTTTTATTAATAATGAACAGAATTCTTGTAGCTAAGATACCTTATAAGGTTAGTAATAAATAATTAATGGAAAAACCTTTCGAATGTTCCTACAAATAAAGTAACAGTCACTTTTCCAATGCAATTGCAAGGCAGACCTCAAGACCTAAAATAGATAGTTAGACCCAAGATAAAGTAGTAATAGTTTAATATAAATTTTTTCATAAAAACATATTGTTTCTGGCAGTCATAGATTAACACAAGTTTGTTTTTACCGTGATGTGTACTTTAAAGCATTTTTTACATTTGTAATTCCTATGCCTACTCGTTAGTCAACATTATTTTGTGTCTATTCCACTTATATTTTTGGATATAGACACGTAGATGTATATACGGTTGAAACTCAAATAAGGAACAGTATGTTTTTATCACCGCTGGCGTGATGCCCAAATGAAGACTCGCAGAATTTGTGCTAATGCGTTTTCCGGCACGATCGCATTTGGGTTGGTAGCGGACTATTTTAACTGTTCTAATTGGTTTGTGCTTCCCCACAATTGTGTTGGGATGACTATGTCTTAATGGCTGATGTGGATATTAGTAAACAGTCGATACTTTCTATTAGAGATGGACCGAGTACTCGGTTGATACTCGGTACTCGGCGTACTCGGTGGGTTTTTTGATACTCGTACTCGGCCGAGTAACTCGATATGAATGCCGAGTATACTTTTTTTTAAGAAAAGCAATATATTTCGGTAGATATAATTAAAACTACAGTGTTAATCAAAAGTATATATTACTACTTTTTACTAGGAATTTGGTGTTTGGATTTTAAGGTATTCATTAATCTTTGGAATCAATTATTTTCCAACATAGATATCGATTGGTGATCTAAAGCGATCATCTCTGCTACAGCTTTTTGAGTTTTTTAGCACGCGAATCAGTTATGTCCCATTTTGTACTAAATGATTCAATAAGGATTTGCTGTATTTTTATTGCATTCGATTGCGACGACGAAGTTGATGCTACTGGCTCACGATTTTGAGATATTTCCAATAATTTTCCAAATCTTTAAACTCTTCCGCGTGTTTTATTTTAACATGGTTTAACATTGCCGTCGTAGAAGCCTTACTATCAAGCGACCGGGAGTTGAAAGGTGCGGGCTGAGTAAGTCCTGTGGATGTATCATAGCGAGCCGGCCTCTCGATCAGCACGAACCTGTTTGTACTTGTTTACGCGCGCGAAATGGGAATTTAATAAAACCGAGTTACTCGGCCGAGTACTCGGTTGTAAAAAAATTGAGCCGAGTTAAACTCTGTACTCGTTACTCGGCAAAAGTGTAACTCGGCGCATCTCTACTTTCTATCAAAAATTACTATATTTACAGTAGTTGTTATTTGATATCTCTTAACAAAAAGTATATGAAGTTAGATATTAATTAAATATCTATACAATGTTAGACAAGCGTTACCCAATCTGTAGTAGCCCCTGAGGACTGCAGAAATTTCTCAGTCTCAAAAAATTATCACAGTTGCAAAATTATTCATTCAAATAAGCTTACTATGAAATCACTTGAATATGTTTTAACTATCTAAGTGGGTACTTACCACGTATTCAAGCTATATTTGGCATTAGATACTTATAAAACTTTTATCTCACAAGAATAGAGATAAAAGTTAAATAAGTATCTAATGAAGTATCGAATAATGAACAGAAGCTTTATAACTATGTTCTTAATAATAATAAAGACTATCACATAAATAAGATTACCTAAACAATGCTAATGCCAATCGCGCTAATGTTATAGTAGCTGCGAATTAACATGTATGCGGTCCTGTAAACTAGTATTGATATTCAATGGTGCATTATAATTATTAAACATACCATATTAGCACTCTGTTTGTAATCAATATAGAAGCAAATACCAAATGTAATTGGATTTCACAGTCACTGAGTACACTGATACAGAGCGTCGTATCGATAATTAAGATTATGATCGTTAATGTAATAACAGTAACTGGTGACTGGAAAGCGTATATACTCTTGTTTCTATGTTCAATGACTTAAGAAGGTTGAAATACGAAGATTTCAGTGTCGAGTAAAGGAGATTGCCCATTATAGTATGGGATTTGGTTTCAAATTGTATCAAGTGCAGCGTCATGTAATTTGCTTCATTTTTTTATGTTTCGATTGTGTGTAATCGATCACAAATAATTTTAACATTAGTTCAGTGTATTCACGAGAAAAAGCCAACGAAGTTCATCAAATTAGGTTATTTGTTCATTTGATTTCAACTTGCACTAAAATTTTAAGTTTCTTTAAATTACATTTTACTATAATGTAGCTATTATATTTAAAGGGATCATAACTTCTCACTTATTATAATTATTATGGTACCGGAGAATAGTTGATGAATTTAGTATTGGCAACTGCAAAACAATTACCAAAAATTAATATTGAAAATAATTTTTAGTATTACATAAACAGTTTATATTTTGATCTACCTATTTTTTTAAATTAGATATTTTTTTACTTCAATTGAACAAGAAATGACTTAGATAACAGGGATTAAAGTTGAGGAGTGGGGGGTCGCTACGTCAGTTTTATAGAAAATGTACAAAAGCGTGACGTCATGTGACATTTTAACTCAATACATCGCCATAATTTAATGATTACGCAAAAATATAAAAAATACGTGTTTAATATTCAACAATCTACCTAACGGACAAACAAACAAAAAATGTCGTTATCCCAATTAAAAATAATAAAACCATTATCACTTTTCTAAAGGTTTCGTCACAGTTCCCATATAACAAACGTGATTTTTTGCTAGTTTTTCGTACGGAATCCTTTGTGCGCGAGTCCGTTTAACACTTGGTCAGTTATTTCTATTTTTTCTCGCAATTAGACTCTTTATTTTTATAGGAAAAAATATATTAATCCACTTTGTAGCCCATTTATTAATATAATGTTGAACCCGCAACTTTTACAATAATAGTAATAGATTGCGAGTTTGGTAGTATTTTATTAAGACTGACTGTTAAGTATATTACTAAAAAATAAGAAAACTAATTTACCTTTTGTTAGAAAACAAAACCATATTTTGTCAATATACTTTTATGAGGAGTTCTGTTTGCGAAGCGGAAGTAAAACAACTTTCCAATTTATAAAATTTATTAACAGCTCCTACGTGCTTCGGAAGACACTTTAAGCCATTGGTCCGAACTGCATTTGCAGTCGTTAACACCCATCAATCCACACTGGCCCACCTGATGGGTATAAACAATTCGCCCTATTCGAATCAATTCCATCCAAAGGGAAGGCCTGTGCTACGGCAGTTATTCATAGACTTATAATCATGATGAATGTGTTACACCCGTGCCAAAGCAGACTGGATTTGCAACATTGAAATATATACCTAAACATTATGTTATCCCTAAGAATAAAAACTGTTATTTGTAATGAATAGTTTAATGAATTAGCTAACTCTAGGCTCTACTTAGAATCTAAGTATATTTAATATAATGCATAATCCACTATGGAAACCATACGTAATAAACTAGTTGAATTTATTGATAAATTTTACATTTAAACAGACAATTTTAAAACACTGTGAATATATTTTAGGAGTGCTTACTTCTAAATTAAAATTTAAAATGACATACTATAAAATAAAGTTAAAAACAGGTTCGTAATGATAATCCTAAAATAACATCCTGTCATGTTAATACAATAAGCAATAAGTATTAGCTTAAACTTAATTTCAAAATAATTCTTACGGAGTAATTTATTCATCTTAAACCATAGACTCTACCTCGTGAGTTCATAAGTTTTGAGACAAACATTTTACTGAAAGAATAAAATAAAATGTTACTGGCTGTTATTTATTTTTTTTACCGATTTTGAATTTGGAATTTGGATTATTTGTATCGCAAATTCATTTGTTTATATTTTCTCGTGATGGTAGGAATGAAACAATTACGAGTAACTGTCATTTACGGCGCTATTTAAGGCGGTAAAAAAAACCGATGTTAAAACCGATTTTGCGCGAGCTGAAAAGTTTTCGTGTAAACCATAACTTCGTCTACCAGATAATACAGCGGTACGAAGAGACGAGTTCTCTGCAAGATCGCCAAAGCAGTGGTGGGCCACGCTCTGTGAGGACGCCTGCGAACATCAAAATCATCCGAGAGCGACTTCGCCGAAATCCATGTCGCACTCAGAAAAAACTCGCTCAGCAGACTAATATTTCGGATGTTTTAGTGCACAGAATACTGAAATATGATCTTAAGGTAAAGGTAGAAAAGTTCACTTTTTAAACGATCGTCTTCATAAGTTGCGACGCGAACGTTGTCCATTGCTTCTGAGAAGACATGATGCCTGGAAGATACTCTTCATACTCTTCACCGACGAGAAAGTTATACTGTCGAAGAAAAGTTCAACCGTCAATACAATAAAGTGTACGCTAAAAGTAGCAAGGATGTCCCATTTTCTGAACGGAAGTCTCGCGCACTCATCATCCGGCTAGTGTGATGGTATGGTGGAGAGTTTCGTATGAAGGTGTCACTCCTCTCCATTTCTGCCAACAAGGTGTCAAGGTGAAAGCCAAGAATTATCAGAATGACAATTTAGAACCCGTGGTGAAACCCCTGTCTGATACGATATTTCACAATAAAGATTGGGTTTTTCAGCAAAACTCGGCGCCATCCCATAAAGCAAAATTCACCCAAGCTTGGTTGAGGGAGAATGTGCGTGCCGGCTTTCATCGCGGCACACGAGTGGCCCCGACCTCAACCTGCTGGATTATTCTTTATGGACTGAGTTAGAGCTCAGGACCTACTGAGAGTCCCACCCCAACTTGGAGTCACTGAAGCGAACCCTTGTTCGAGAAGCAAAGCCAATTCAGCTAGAAAAGAATCATGCCGCCATTGATGACTGGCCAAATCGTCTAAGGGCCTGTATTAAAAACAGGGGCGGTAATTTTAAATAAAATATATATTTTATTGTTGATTACTATCGTCTTAATGGTTACGGAAAATTTTAGGAATATAAGTTAATTATTAAGGAAGTTACGCAACTTTTATTTCGTCTCAAAACTTAATAACACGCGAGGTAACCATAATTTAAAAAAATATTTTTTAAAACAACTAATTAATTGTATTGTAAAGTTACTTTATTGTAAAGTGACTTTAAATGTAAAGTCTCCGATCTCACTGGCACACCATAACTGATAACTGGCAACATTGTTACACGCTATTACAGTGATAAATATATAAGAAGTAACTACCAGACTGGTAAAATATCAAGTCTAGAATAATAATATCTGTCAACTATTATTTTAGAGCTGTAGGTAATGTATATTTAGGGTACAATAGGCCTGTCATATCTTAAAGATAAAAGTCTAAATGTCCTTAAAAGAAAAGAATAATAATGTAAAATAATTAAAAACTATACTAATCTTATTCAATGTGTTATTAAATATGTAAATGAAAATGCTAAGAATACATTCTAAGTTACAAAAACTTAAAATTTTACTAAATTTATATGTAGTAGTTATTAAAAATAAAATTAAAGACCTTACATAACACTATCAGCAAAAATCGATCTTATGTCCTGAGACAGTAAAAATACTCTTTACACCCTTTGTAATATTACAAAGAGTAAAATATAAGATAACCCACTTTATTCAACCGATTGTTTAAAATAAATTTAATCTAAGTCTTATTTTATAACCATAGATTTCAAAACTCTAAAAAGTAGTTAAACTTTATACATCACTAAAAACAGGAACGTTGATACAATTATCTAAAAAATCAAACTACTTATTATCAATATTAAGTTACTTACAATTATTTCTATGAATGATTATATCAATACAAAGACTATGTATACTACTTGACGATCCTTTTTAAAATTAAAATTGTATCACAGATCATAGTGTAGTTATGTTGATAGACGAAATTTTGTATAAAAAATCAGTGGTTTGAAGAAAAATCAGTACCATTAAAAAAAAAGTTTGTAAACTAATATAATATTACACAAAAATCGGGTACTTTTAATTTTTACATCTAGCAATACTGAATTGCTAATGACCGTCAATTGAATAATCTTTGAATAAATTTATTTTTTATTTGTATAGAGGAAAATGGAAACTAACATAATGGAAGTGAGCACAGAGGCTTTTTAAATTTATGGAAATCAATTGAATGCTGTGATATAATTAAAAGTGGCATCTAACTACGGTATACAATAATATTACGTTTTATAAATAAAATAGGTACTTATGTCATAGTAGGTCTAGGAATTTTCATTTTAGTATTTAACAAAAGTTCTGAAAAAATAACAACTAGGTAAGTTAGTTTTATTGCTATTAGTTGTTTGTTGAACTTACAACAACAAAACTACATCAATTCTCAATATTTTTTTTATATTATGTATGGTGAATGAATGAATAGGGTTTATTAATCAGCAACAAAAGTCATAAAAACAATAATTTTTAAGAAAAATCCGTTTATTATCTATAAACTTACCCGATATGTATCAAATATACTATATATTCGTACAAAATAACATAACTGCTGGCTAAAATGACGTTTGTGCAAAGTGTAACGTGCAAATAACTTGTGCTTTCGAAATTAAGACTTTATAAAACTATTATCAGTTATTAAATCTTATATTCATAATTAAATCATCTTAATAAACATTCAGCAATTAACAAGAAACGTCTGCTCTAAACGAACAGCAAGGTTGTAACTTTAAATTTCAAATGTCAAAGACACGTACAGTTATTATATTGCTACTGATCTTGCATGTCGACGGCGGACGTCGAGCCATGTGTTAAGTTAATTCGTACGGCGGGTTTGTTCTTTTTGGTTCTTACAATAATATTGTTAATAATAATTTGAATTCCTACACAACCTACTCTAGAAATCCGTTTTATTGAAATATATTATTTACTAAGTACCTAGAGTTGTTATGGTCTCTTAAAATCTCTGCGGTGGTATCGTGTGCGTTAGGTGGTTACGATCCCTCAAATATAGTATAGTTGAGTTGTTTAGTTGAAATTAAAAAAGCAGCCCTTGCTGAGTTTCTTGCCGTTTCTTGTCAGTAATGCCTCAAAATTAGACAGCAACTTTTCAGTACCGTACAGCTAGTCTAGTGGTATACATAGTCTGTATCAATCGCATAGATTTGTGAAGCGATGGTGAAACTTTTCGACTTACGAAATTTCTTATTAACCTAGTTAAGCTATAACAACTACAAACAACTAGACAATTTCGTCTAATAGTAGTCTTCTAAACAAAGTTCTTGGTGAAAAGAATAACTTAAGATTCCGATTGCGTAAATATAATATACTATGATTGTTGTCTTTAAATTCAAAATACCACAGATAAAAATGGCTCCAATTACAAAAACCGAATAGCAACTGGCCAACTGGCTGGCACGGTTCGGAATTGGAACTGCACTTACCCAATTTACACCAAACGCGCCTCTACAATACATCCATCAATGCGAAGCCCGTTGAAAACCTCTGGAATGTTTGTTAAGGACACTGTTTGGATCGTTTGAAATCTATATGACTTGTAATGAGGAAGTATTAAAAAAAAACGAAAGCACTTAAAAAGTATCTCCACTAGATGGCGACTCTAGCAAAAGTTGATTTTTGCAGGAAACGAACTGACCAAAGACAGTCATTTCCGTTCCAAAAGTTTGAAACTTCAATACAAATATGAAAAAGTATAAATTAAATATGAGTTGTTTGAGTTTTGAAAACTAATTTACTTTTAAACTTGAAAGAAAACCGGAAAGGTTGTCATGGAGAAATCAAGAACGTACCGTAGCGACATCTAGTTTGATTTCGGGAACTAATGTTTTTTTTATCGGGAATTGCGATTCCAATTTTTGGCAAAATGCCAAACCAACATTTATAATCTTGAGGCCCGGCTGCGTTTGCACTCTTAAACACCCACCAATCCTCATGACAGAGCGATATGTTTTTTCACCAATGGTAAGCTACACCACGTGCGGGTGACACGCGGGAAGACAGTTAGTTTTATAATAAATTTGTTGTAGGAAACAGTCCAATCAAAACGTACACTTTTTTTACTGTCCTTCAAATATACGATCAATATTATGTTATTAGATAATATTCGAAATTTCGATATGTTAAGGATACGAAAACATCTCTCGGCGTGGGCACGTTGTGAAAATCTTGCGACGGCACACCCTGGCGTGGTAAGTTGGAGTGATAGAACTTGCCCACAAAGGGATATCTTCTCACATAGAAGTGGGAACGTCGTCGAAGGTGGCAACTGTAATCAGTAAAAATTTCGTTAAACAAAAAAAAATACTTCGCTATAATACGATTATAAATACGGAATTACTTTCTTTATTAGTGCCAATAGAAGTACACCAAATAACGTAATATTATCGTTATTTGAAAAAAAAAACTCGTTGAAAAGATCATGCAATTATAACAAAAGCACCTGAAAAGTATCTTGCTAAAATAAAGAATATGCATACTTACATTACGAAATTGCAATTCGAATGAATCCTGCGGAGGAGCATTCATCCGCAAAGAATTGGGAGGAAGATTGGGGGGACCATAACCACCGGGCCCAGTGTTCATATGTACACCTGGTGCAGGACCTGGACCCATGTTCATCCTAATTGAACCCATATTGACCTCGACTGGTCCAGAATTCATAATTCCCATAGGAGCATTCATCATTGCAGGCGGACCAGATGGTCCCATATTAACCCCTGGTGGGCAAGAAGGACCCATGTTAACACCAGGAGTGCCGATACAAGGCCCCATATTAGAACCCTGTGGTCCAGAAAGATTTAAAGGCATTCTCGGGAGAACCGCACCAAATGTCATTCTTGGAATGACAGAAGAACCCATATTAACTCCTGGAGCATCATTAGTACCAGGCGGCTTAGAAATATTCAAATTTTTAGGAGGATTTGTGTTAAGACTTTGAGATTCTGGCTTAAGTCTTGCAGGACCTGTGGAACTCTGTGAAATGACTGTGAGATTCTGAAAATTGCGAGAAGACTGCATGATTTTATTTCTAGAAGTATCCTTTTCGCTTGATTTCCATGACGGTTTGTCAGTTCTTTCATGTGATTTAATACTCTGATATTCTCTACTATTATTTTCTGGCTCAAATTTCGATTTTTTACTTGGCGGTGGAGATTCATGCATATCATCAGTATCTTCAACATTCTTTGTTTTAAATGATACAGCTCGCTTAAAAGATACATCCCCTGCCTTGTTTACTTTTAAAGAATCAACATTAAAACTATTTTCAGAAATGTTTGACATTGACTTTTTAAAATCATTACTCTCAAAATTCCAATCTTTGCTGTCAGAATGTAGAAAAATTGAAGTATCTACCATGGAGTCTTTGTGTTTCAGAAAGTTTTTATATTGATCTACTATGTCTCTTAATGGTTTTCCTTTTGTACCTAAACCAGGGCCAATATTAGCCAATCCTTTTGGCAATATAATTGTATCCATAGGGCATGGGAGCATAGTCAATTTTAATTTCTGGCCATAAAAAACTTGATCATTTAACATTGCTATCGCCTGAAATAGATTTTTTTTTAAGAATCTTTCCGCCAGCGACTTCGCCCGCGTGATCCTACATAATAGGTTGGGGAAAAAGTTTCTTCGCATTTTATATGAAAATTCAAAAAATTATAATAAAGTTTATTTAAAATAACTAAAGTATGTAGGTACCATTTTGTTCGATAACTTTTTGACATCTTGTAGGTGATCCCACTGCTCTAGAAATTTTGGGGCTTCTGATAAAAAAACCGTGACAAATGATTTTTGCAATCCTCGTGTGATGTTAACCTGACACTACCTAAAGCATTCTGAAGAGAACGAAACAGGTGGAAATCTTAAGGGGCAAGGTCTATACGGCGGATGCATTAACACCTCCCAGCCACTCTTAATTTTGGCTGAGTGGCAAAAGATGTGTGAGGTCTAACGTTGTGTGAACCACACCCCTTCTATTGATTAATTCTGGCCGCCTTTCCTTAACTTCTTGATTTAATCTCATCAGTTATTCGCAGTAGAGTTCGGAATTGATGCACCAAAACTGTTTTGTGGTCGATCCCCAGTTCTTCAGCTATGTCGTAACTACTGATATGCCGATATTGCTCCACTTTATCAAAAATAGCATCCATTTTCTTCACTTTTAACAGGGCGACCGGAGCGACGTGCATCTTTGACATCAAAATTTCCGGGCTAAAAACGCTTAAACAAAGTTTGTGCTACTTACAGAAACTGCACTAGGTCCAAAAACGTCACTAATTTTTTTCGCAGCTTGCGTTGCATTTTTACCTTTTTTCTAATTACATTTTTAAATGTATCGAATTATCTCATTGTGACAGTAAACAAAACAAATGAAAATCACACGTTTTCCTTATACGAATTCAGATTTGTCTTCTCAAAATTTTAACTTTTTAATAATACCGATACCAGCCAGATACAAATGGTATATTTTATCACAAGTTTATGCATACTATATGCGAAAATACTTTTTCCCCAACCTAATATAAACCTTCCTTTTGGATAACTCTGTATATTGGATGAAAACTTGATTAAAATACATTGTGTAATTTAAAGGAATCTCCGTGTAGTGACAGCGGGAAGCGTTACTATGTATAGATTGAGATAAAACTAGCATGCAGAATTTAATGTTTTTCTATATAAAATCTGATCTCTTATAAATCCTATATATAATTAATTTACTGAAAAGAATAGTTATAGAATAGCATATTGAACATTCACTGAAATAACAAACCTGAACAGCTTCCAGTGGATGGCTATACATGACTTTTGCATAACGCTCACGAAATAACACGGAACATATTACAACATGTCCAGCTAATTCTAAGACTTCTTTCAACTCAGCTTTATCACACCTAAACTGTTAGAATCATAATTTGTCTGATTACTACATATTTTAGTCATATTTGACCAATTTAGCATTCACAATGCTAATGATTTTAATGAAAAATGCCAAGTACTTGCTCAGAGTACCTGAGTTGGTGGATTTTTAAGCATTTTTCATTAAAAATATAACAAATTTTATTTTATTCAAATTATTTCTAACATTAATTTCGACAAAGTTCCATCATCAAATGCAAAAGCTTGAGATGGTGAACTGATGAACAATCATTGTGCAATGAAAATGGTCATAGGTGCAACAGATTCAAAGTTATAATTAATTTAGATTTTGCTTGGTAATTACAAACAAACAAAAGAGACTGATTATAATTAATCAAATCCATCGTATAAATATTATAAGTATTACTTGCGCTCGCGCAATGATACTGTGCAATTTGGAGACTTTAAAGAGATGTGTTTGTTTAGTGTCGACATATGATCATAGCCAATTCACATATTCATTTTTTTACATATTTACTTACTTTTTGGATGTCAAAAAGTGTAAAATTGTTCTAATCATCAAACTAATTAAATAAAGTTAAGGTCAAAGTTATGTAAAAAACATAAAGCGATGTGCAGTAGCGGTTTCTGTAATAGGTAAATAAAATTAAACATGTGTTCTGGAGCAAGGCAGCTTGTTGAATGCAGATCAGTCCTGCGATTCTGTAAATATCCATACCCGATTTCGAATTCACTAAGGAGTTCGAATTCACTCCAAAAAGTGGCATCCACTCAACCTTAAATCGGTAATAACGTTTTGTGACATAAGTAAAAAGAGTTTCGAAATAACATAAGAATAGAACACGTATATTCAATAAATTATGTTTTGTATTTTTATACAAAAAATGAATGGGTCTGAATTTTTACAGAATCACAGGGCAGAGCCTATGACCTATTCAAATGAGTACATATATTAAAGGAGAACTTTTTTTTGTATGGAGGCTGGTACTTTATTCAAATTATCTGTAACCAAGCATAAAGTATATATTAATGGATAAATAAATCTTACTCATCATCATTTTATTTTTAGACGCCGCCAAAATGTTTATGTTCTGATTTGAACATCATTTGGTGGATGTATAATAATTTATGTACCAACACATGCAAATGCATTAGGAAAATCTATGGCAACCCCATCCCTAAGTTACGTTCCAATTCTTGTTGTGAATCAATCTGTTTGGAAAATGTGGAATTAATATTTTTAATTACTATTAATTATGGTAATTTCAGACCTCTAAATGTCAAATACAGGGACATTTTATATGAATCAAAGCTCGTCAACGCAGGTTAGGCCCGGTTTGAGTCATTTAAGAGCAAGGCTTATTATAATAAACTTTTTGTTTAATTTCATTATCGGAATTTTCCCACTTTCGTTATTACCCCAAAGTAACCTACCGAAAGCTAGGCTGTTGACATAGATCCCTTTGCGTTTGTTTTAATTTTCTGCACTTTATTTTTTTTTACGAGTTTTATGGCTGTGCATACTTGTGTTTCTAGGCAAACCATACCAATTTTTTTAACTTAATTCTCTAAAATGGGGGCACTTTCAGGCCTGAAACTTTGATGAAAGATAAGGGTTTGAGTCTTGATGTTATAATTTTCAAAATAAAGTACCAAAAATGGTTAATTTTTTTCGGAATAAAGTACCAAAAAAAAAAATTCTCCTTTGTCCATTGTGAATAAAGAAAATTTTATATTTAACTTTGATCTGATGTTATCTAGTGCTTAGGTATTCATCTGGTGTAGGACCGCACCACTCTTGCCGCTGACATAGGAAATCGCTCTATTACAAACTTACTATAATTTAAACAATTATGCTTTACTAAATTAATAGAAAAAAATAGTTATTTGTTAAATCAAATAACATTTGTTAATTTTATTTAACAATTAATATTTATGCTATTAAATAGAACTTACATTTGACACATGAACCCACTTATCCAGAGGAAGTTTAATGCCAATGGATTCTATAAATCGTGGATTTAAACCATAAAGATTATCAGAAGTTTCTTGTTCACTCTCCCATCGAAATGGAGACTTCATTCTATAATTACAAAAAAAACATGAAAGTTAATTAATAATTATAATAACAATTATAAAACAATAAAAAAAAAACAATGGGCAACTTACCCAGCTAAGTGTATTGAATCAGAAGATGAGTCACTGATATCAAAACTTTCATTATCTGTAATTAAAAAGTAAAAGTTTAAAGCAATATTGTATATTATTTAACTCATGATGTATGTTTTGTAATGGCATCCACTTGAACAAGCCAGTCATTAAAATACATATTAAGAAGTAAGCCTATTGCATTAGGTTTATACTTTTATAGTGACAGGGATAACATGGATTTTTTAAGCATTTCTCATTAAAACGATTCTTCAAAAGCTAAAATCAAGACTTTTTAATAATCAATTAATAATTTGTTAACACACCCAGTGACTGATGAATTAAATAATATTAGAGTAGAGAGTTAGAGTGGGAAGCATTTAGTCCCTGTCGCTTCCATATAAGACTCTATCAGTGTTATTACAAAAAAGATAAACACGCGTTGAACATGTGTTTAAAAAAAAATCTATTACAAAATCGTATTTAGGCATTGGTTAAGGCTAAACATCCCTTAAACAATGTTTAAAATATAAACACTCGTTGAGAGTTGTTTAACGCGTGTCTAACCTAAATATAGGTTGCGCTTTGTTGAAAATTCATCCATATTCTTAAGATAATCTTTATCTTATATAAAGATTATATTGATATGGTCGATTTAGATTACATGGAAAACTTTCAGGACGCGTAAGTGAACCGAACGCGAATTAATCCATTTGAGCAATACAATGAACTTTGATATAAAAGAAAGTACATATTTAGTGGATTGTTTGCTGACAAAATATATGAAATTATTTAAGACGATATTCCACATAATCCTCGGGATGAAAGTATAGATCTGCAAATAAATACACGTAGCATGTGCATGTGTGCATAGCTTCTGTGTCTGTTCACAGCTTGTGAACATGTGCGGCGTTGGGTTCGGCATCAGGTAGTCGTTGTTCCGTTTCTTCATATTATTTCGCTATAGTTTTACTTAACCTTACTCTAATATGAATTATTAATAGAAGTGCAAGTTTAAAAACGTTAATTTTGTACTTTCTTTTTTACTTTTGAAAGTTATTAGCTAATATGTTATTGAACATATCTTTTTACGATTAGAATTTATCATAAGTCTGTATACAATGTGCATATAATGGAACGTGTATGAACGAATGAAAGCAGACTGAACGAATGTTTTACGGGTAGCATGTTTAAATCAGCGTTAGTTAAACTACGACTAAAAATGGATTTGTAATAGACAAAGTTAAACATCATTTTAAACAGGGTTTATATTCTTAGACATTGTTTACTTAAACACATGGTAAAACCCTGTCTAACGTCTCTTTTGTAATAACACTGTTTATGTCTTTCAACTTCCTTCTAATGGAGTCTCCACAACTCAACATCAAAACTTTGTGTGTGTGTGGCATAAAGTTGATATTTAAGTCTTATCTTACAGTTGCCAGAATTCATGCAATTTTTATTTTAATATGATTATGGTTATACAGCATTTGGAAGTTACATTATTTATTGAGTTTCTCTACTTTTGGCCTACCCTAAAGTACATGCTAAGTCCACCCAAGCTAAGGTAATAGTCAAACGGAAAAATTAACCACATTAAATATGTCTTAGAGACAAGAATATAGGTAATTAGTTTTGGTTTAAAAAATAACTGATATTATCACTATAAATAACACATGCCAACAAAGGGTACAATTTTGTACAAGCTATCTATTTTATATGATAGTGTCAGAGAAAATTATTGTTATTATAATTATTATTATTTTTCTTATATTAACCACTGTAATTGATGTAACTTACCAGTTTTCATTTTCATTCCAATTTTATCAAAAGAATTGGTAGATCTTGTATTCTCTCGTTTTTCAGTATCAGACATATTCGCAAATAATGCCCTGAACTATCGCAATCAGCAGTATCTATAGTATTTTATTTTTATTTATGTTTAAAGAAAATGTGATAATTTTGTTAATTTCGTGTGAATTTTCGGCAACAAACAACTACATAACCACAACAAACATTCATTGTTGACATTGACCACAGAACAATAATACTCTACGAGTTATTGACTATATAGGTAACTAGGGCAAAAAATCGGTTTATCAAATTATCAATATTTTTTTGGAAAGTAATCGATATAAACAAACGAAATTTACCGCAATTCAAATTCGTATCAAAAATCAATATATTTTTAAAACTCTCAAACAGCCAAATGTGCATATACTTTGACGAAAACTCATCGCCGATCATCGCCATCTTTCATTCATTTCATCTTCTTTTTACATCTAGAAATTCACTTATTCACTTGACATTGGCAGAATCATGCAAAATGCGCAGATAAACCATTAATAAAAGAAGAAGAAGAAGAATATTTTAACAATGACATTCGCTTATTGGGTAGAAAGTATCGTTATATCAATATATTGATATTGGCTTCACACGGCTTGTGCGTTTAGCTAATGACACGTTAGTATTTTGTGAGTAAAGTTAGGGAAACTTCAGGAAAGAGATAAGGTTAAAGGTTTTCGGGAATTTGAAATAATTAGGATTAGAAGGATAAGATGAAGAATATTATTTTAACATGAGGTAAAGGGATGATATGATGAAATTATATTACAGTTGAAGCACTATGTCCGTGTCTTACTAGATCTGGGCGAACAGTCCGTGTACCGTCTCGTTATGTTTAATATCTGTGTAAAAGTGTAGAACTCACTCTTGACCTTTTTTCTAATCTATTTTATTATGAAGTCTATTGTTTTTGGTTTTGTCTTTTAGCCGACATGTAAGAATTTAAATATATTTTTTCAAGCTTGTGTGAAGATTACAGTTTAGTTATTTTAATTGTATTTCAGTTTAATTAAACAATTTATTATTTATAATAGCGTGTTTTCTATGCCGCCATTAGCCAAGGGCCATTATCAGACTCGCGCTATACAGTTTAATATTGTTAAAAATAATAAATTTTGCTAGAGATTTATATACATTTAGGAACCTTATGGTTGAATGTGTGGTCCCTACTGTGGTGGTGGAGACAACTGGCCAGGGACTAAAGGATAATTGTCTCCCTCCGAGCTAGGTGTAGTTAGCCCGAGGACAGCGGTCCAACTGATGTAGGTTGGACGTTCTATTTATGCTAATAAGTAATTAAACTTATTCTGTGCGATGTAGGTTTCTTTGTTCTAAATGCCTTGTAGGTATTAATTTATGCTGCTTGTATTGGCTATAGCGCTATCTCGTTACTTGCTGTTGAAACTTATTGCAGTTCGTCTAGCTATCGATGGCTGTGACGATGCTAGTCTTCTCGCTATCGATTGTTGTGGCGATGTTAGTGCTTGCAAGTGCCAGGTTGTGACGTCGGGACCGAAGCTGCTGGTGTGCAGGGCTGCCACGCCGGTGAGTTTTGTGTGAACTGAGGTCCGGTCGTGGGCTGCGAGGACCAGGTCGGGATGATGCCGTCGAGTGGTGCCAAGAATCCAGAAAGCGCTGTCAATGCTGCTGTGATGGACCTTGGTGTTGGTTGGCTTGCTGCTGATGTAGCTGTGCTGGTGAGGGATGAGAGGCTGATGATGAAGGTTGAGAGACTGTTGATGAAGAGTGATGACTGCGTTGTGATGCTGAAGGTTGCTGATGTTCTGTCGGGGTCACCACTTTAGGAACCTTAAGGTTGAAGGTGTGGGTCCCTACTGTGGTGATGGAGACAACTGGCCAGGGAGACTAAAGGATAATTGTCTCCCCCCGAGCTAGGTGTTGTTAGCCCGGGGACCGCGGTCCAACCGATGTAGGTTGGACGTTCTATTTATGCTAATAAGTAATGAAACTTATTCTGTGCGATGTAGGTTTCTTTGTTCTAAATGCCTTGTAGTTATTCATTTATGCTGCTTGTATTAGGTACAGCGCCATCTCGTTACTTGCAGTTGAACTTATTGCAGTTCGTCTTGCTATCGATGGCTGTGACGATGCTAGTCTTCTCGCTATCGATTGTTGTGGCGATGTTAGTGCGATGAGTTAGACGTCGCTATGTATCAGTCGCCACATACATATTGGTTATTCGTAGCAAGCAAGGAGAATATGGAAGTTGGGAAAGAAATTTAAATGAATATATACTATTATACTATTTTTATACTATTTTAAAATTAAAGAGCGATCATACATTAATAAGCAAATTTATATGATTCAGTTGAAATAACAGGATAATATGTTTACATTTGAAAGGGAAATTTATCAACAGCATGAAGAGCGCTCAATAAATCAAAGTGTGGCAGCAAGTTAGAACGATGAGTGAGATTGTGCAGGTTTTTATATTTTTGTAAGCTTTTTATTAACAAGGAAAAGTTTTGTGCGACCAATAGCTGTAAGAGTTAATTTTTTCTTCGAGTGTTTGTAGTAGCAAGGGAAAGAGCGAAAAACTAATCTGTCAGGTGACGACATTCAACTTGTAATGCATTGACTCAATTTCATAGCTCCTGCTATTAATCTGAGAACTTCAGATTGGATTTTCTTTAGGCAAGATTGGAAGTGAATCATTATCATACACAATCTGAACGAAGGGAATGATAAGTCTCCAAGAAAATATTACTAAAACGCTTTTTGCTGAATCTGACAACACATCGGGTTACACACAACCTGACGTGCTATTAACTTTACATTTATAAAGTGCTCCCGCGTGACTCCCGCTATAATAATATTTTTATTCAGTGATCTGATCACACAATAAAATATAACTTACAGGGACATTTTTTTAACTATTATATTCCGATGTAAGTTCAGTATAGTATATTTACTAAATATACAGTATATATACTATATTGTTCATAATACTCGCCACTAGATGGCGACTCTAGCAAAAGTTGATTTTTACAGGAAACGACCAAAGACTGTCATTTCCGTTCCTTTTATATAACATATGAAATAACTGAAATTTGAAAATTTCAAATACTTAGATATCAATACAAATATGAAAAAGTATAAATAGAATATGAGCTGTTTATTGGGTTTTGAAAACTAATTTACTTTTAAAAATCAAAGAAAGTCGGAAGGGTTGTCATGGAGAAATTAAGAAAGTGCTGTAGTGACATCTAGTTTGATTTCGCGAAAAATTATGCTTTACAGTAATGAAAACAGATTTATACATTTATTTAAGAAGTGGCTGTATAGATTAAATCCCTTTAGTGTTTGACTAAAAAAAAATTTAAAAAATATAATGTCAACCCGTTTTTTCAAAATCGTTTGGAATTGTGAAATTGTGCCAAAAAATATACGGATTCCCCGTTAGATGAGAAAATTATAGTGTTTAAATATTTATTTTTATCAATAAAATGTCCAAAAGTGGCACCTCAAACGTAAAAGACTTACTTTATTATGTATGTTTTAAAATTATATACTTTTGTTTCATCTACCCTTTATTAACAAGGGATCAATAAAGTAAATATTTCTTTTGCAGTCAGAGTCCTATGATGAGGATGTTGATGAAGATATTTGGGATGACAGAAAGCTGAATGATGCATACGATAAAGCTTTAAGAATAGCGAACGCAGAGGTGGCAAAAAGAGTTGCGATGTCTACAAATACTCAACACAAAAACAAAGAAGGTATTTATGAAACAGATTAAATTAAACTAAACCTCTTTTTTGTTTTTTACTTCCTTATTCTAACACTTCAATATTTGTGATCTGGACCTCTATGTAGCATTTTGAATGCAAAATTTATTAAATATCATTTCCATACAACAAGAAAAAAATACATACGTAATTTGTGTCTTGTTAGAAATAACGTATTATAAAATTAAAGTTACCTGATTTCGGGGTAAATAATAATGTTTAACGATGGTAATATTTGGCTGAGGTTTTGTGTTCTAAGCAATTACTTAAATTTAATTTTTAAATTACTGAAAATGTAAGTTTTCTCCAATACTTATATATGAAATGTGATTCCATCCTGCTTTTTATTTTTTGAGGATTGGTTTTTACAATCTTTTACTACACAATTCGAGAATAAGTAAAAAATTTTTTTTTTTTTATAATGAAACATTCCGCACACTGTCTTTAGTTAGACTGATAAGGAAGGCGTCGTTTCGTTATGTATGTGCGCGTGAAACTGTGTACGAATACGCCGAGGCGTAGTTTTGTCAGCTTCACTTTTCTGTTAGGCAAAACTCCGTCTATACTTTTTATTTGGTCTGAGATCTCCAATAGAATTGAAACAAAAAGTGGATATGCTAACAATTGTTTCAGAGGTTGTTGATATAGATATGTATATTAATATTTTTTATTTCATTTCTCATTCTTCACAAATACTCTAAAAAAATTTTGTAACTATATTATAATTCAATTATCTATAACAACATACTTTTGATATTAAAATACTAAATTTATTGATTATAGGTAATAATGATACAAAAAAAGAAAAAACTTTCAACAAAACAAATCCTAAAAACAGTAAAAAGCATACAAATAGTCAATGGAAAGCTGGCATGCCTTGTCGTGCAGTGTATGAAGTTGATGGGCGAGAATATGAAGCTTTTGTACTTAGAATCATAAATGAGAATGAGTGCATAGTGAGATTTTTAGGTAAGAATGTTTCTATAATCCAAATATGGGAGTATATAATAAAACCATCTATATAATTGAAGATTATTAGCAAATCTACTAAGAAACTCACAAGCATAAAAACTACTTCCATAATTACCAGGGCTAAGAAAATTTGTTAAAAAATATAATTTAAAAGTTTGTGCTTAGTTTTATTTTAAGTAAATGCATAAATTAAGTCCCAGGTGCATGATGGGATTTGAATCCATAACATTTTGTAATCTAAGCCATTTCAAAAATTCTTCAGTGGCATTAGGCAGTTCAATTAGAGCTAATTGAACCAGGGGTCGGAAACCGGTATATTTTTCGAAACGTTTTCATCTTAAATACCTAAAAAACACTTTGTTTCGGTTTCGTTCGAACAGAACAATATAAAAAACGATTTAGGAAAAAAACAGAATTATATTGTTTTCGGTTAATAAAACGTTTTTAACCATTTATTTTGCGTTTTTTTGCATCGCATACTGTAAATAACGTAATAAAATAGATGTACGCCGCCCTTACAGCCCGCGCGGCACCGTCTTGCGGATTAAACCGGTTTTTTAAAGCGTTCTCATTTCGTTTTCGTTTCGAACGCAATCTTGCCCAAAGAACCATAAGAAACGTTTTAAAAACGTTATTTTGAATAACGTTTCCGAGCCCTGAATTGAACTACCTAATGCCACTGAAGAATTTCTTAATCACTTGTGATTTTTATCTTTAGTAAGCATACTCTTACTGGTCAATATTCTGGCAATTTAGGCAAATAGGTATAATAGGAAGCCAGATCTGAAGTTTATATTAAAGATATATAACAAATACTAGATTATTATTTCCATTTCAGGATATGAAAATTCAGAGATAGTATCAATAAGTACTCTTAAGCCGTCCTTGGGTAAAGAGGAAAGGAATCGACAGATTGAACAAGCCTTGGAAGATAAGACTGATGAGGCATATACCAGCCAGTCACCAAATACAGAAAAAATGGATTGCACAAGTGATAGAGCTCTTAGCCCTGGCAGCACAGGTAATTTATGGTCTCTAAAAGAAATTCCTACCATAGGGAATACAGTAGAAGCTCCTTATTCACTGCTTTCTATTTTACATTTTCACTAATTACAGGTGAAAAAATTGTAACCGAATTTCTGTACTTGTGGCTTAAATATGTTTATTTGCAGATGCAAATGGTAACATAAAGGGATTCAGCATTGTTTATTAACATCATTGTCATCTTTTAAATACTCCAACCATGTCAAGATGGCTTTTATAATGCCTTGTAGCATTCACAAAATACTTTAAAAGGCAATATTTTGAATGCTACAACTACATAGTTATGAATCTTAATTTAATTATAGTAGGTAGTTCTTCAATAAATTGGATTTATTTTAACGTACTGCTTTAATAAAGAACATACCTCCTATAATTCTATACTAAATTATATGTGATGTGTAATCACCAGTGGTCGGCATAGGTAGTGCCATTTGGGTGAATGACCTCAAACGTGGACATCATGGACATTCCCCGGAATTCAAGATATTAAAATCGATATTGTGGTAACTTATTTTATTCATAAATATAAACTCTAATAATTTTATTGTTTTGTGTTTATTCTTTGGTAGATATCGTTTAAAGCGGTTAATTGAAACTGTATGTAAAATTTCTTTTGTCACTAACAATCATTAAACAAGCGAGGACTGATTTTGTGCTATTAAAATATTTATTCTAATATTCTGCTGCCTTAAGCCATCTAACCCACCACGTAATTACGGGTTGTGGGAGGCAACGGAATACCGGGACTTTTCTTTGAAAGTTCTTACTATTTGTGGAGAATTCAGAAATGTTTTTTCATATTTATAATCAAAGTATCCACGTCCGGATATTCAAAACGGACTTTCTCTGCTATTCGATGCAAAGCATGAACTAAATATGTCACATGTTTCGTGTTTGGTATTGAAGTTTTTGAGCGCATTAGACAAAATAAACAAAATTCAATCAAGGTGTCTGCGTATTATTCTAGGGGCTATGAAATCGTCCCCCATTAATGCCCTCTAAATAGAAGCTGCTTTTTAGAAAAACTTAGAACTGGTGTTGGCTTGGATCACAGGCCACAGTGGTATAAAAAGCAATGAGTCGCTGGATTCATGTGCTCGTACAGCAATATCTAGTGGTACTACTAGCTATTCTTAACTACCATGTCAAGATTTTCTTCCTCTTACTCATTTATATCAGTTGTTGTAAAAACACTCGCAGAATACTCGAATTAAAACCGGTAAACATTATTACGACACCCGACCAATAATAACTCGGAAAATGTTTCAAAACAAGTGGTTTCAGTATTGTGTCGCCTTCGACTCGGACAATCTCACGTCCCTGTCCACTTAGCCAAAATTAAAGTTAAGGACAATTCCCTTTGTGAATGACTGGATGAAGGATCAGTCGAACGTGTGTTATTTGAATGCCCCAAACTTCGTTGCTCCTTATATGATTGCCTTCCAAATGATATACCCCGGCGCCTAAATGTCAAAATATCCTTCAGTTGATTAAATCACCTTTGTTAAGCATACTAATTAAATTAATATTAAATAACAAAATTAAATTGTAAAAGCTCAAAAAATTTACCCTGCTTACTAAATCGGTACCCATAGGTGTATTTGTTGTGTAATGTCCTGCATGTCATAAAATGTGTTGTATTTTGTTTCAGAATCGCTAAACTGTCATAGGAAGTAAAATAATTTTTAATAAGCCTTTTCCAAAACTTTTTTTTTCTCATAAATATCTCTACCGTGTAATAGCTTTACACGTGAAATTGGCAGAATTGTGCGAAACGCGCAGATAAGCCATTAATAAAAGAAGAAGTTTTTGGGATACGTCCTGCTGATACATTCGTCACCCCACAAGCTCTCCAAACAATTAATTACAAATTCTGATGCAGTGCGTAAATTAACAACTTCTAACGTTTTAATGCAACTACAAACATGCAACTTTTTGTGGTATCCAAATTTAATTATTTCAACAAAAAGTGCACGATGTAGCGCCCTAAAAAATCGGTTCTTTCATCTAATGAAATCCAAAGCTTTTCATTTCATATTTTTGCGACTTATCTAAGTATTTTTTTCTAAGGCTAGTCTCACTTGGGAGAGTGGGACAATTTGAACAAATATTTCCCAAAAAACTATTTGAAAGACGGATTATCCAAATTATTCTATGGAATATTACATAATATAAGGAAATTAATAAGGTCAATATTAAAATCATTCGTAGTCTTCTTACATGTTGGCATTATTGTCAACATAAGCGAAAATAATAGAATCAGTAATGTCAAAAACTAATAAATTATTTTGTAAAGTTTAATAGTGGTATAGAAATATATGACCAGAATGATGCAATCAGTAAAAAATAAGGAATATGAGCAAAGCGTACAATGGAGTAAATTATAAAATTCTACTCGATAAACTTTGAGGGGACACGCATTTGAATGGTTTCGATCTTACCTTCAGAACAGATCATAATGCGTAGAAATACAATATACTACTTTGATACCTAGATCGAAAATTCTAGATCTGACATTGTGCCCATAACCGGTTGTATTCCCCAAGGAAGTGTACTAGGATGCGTTTTGTTTTTGGTCTATATAAATGATCTTTCCCCAACAAAATCATTAGACTATGTTCTCTTTGCAGATAATGTCTCCGTCATCATATCTTGTGAAAATACGAACTCTTTAGGAAAGACTTAGATAAAGTATAACATTCTGTTGCAGAATGGCTTGATCATAATAACTTGCGATTAAATTAAAAAAAAAAAACTAAATTAATTCATTTCAAATCCGACCAAAAACCATCCTTAGAGATTGATTATCAATATAATTTAAAAAATTTAGAACCTGTGGATTCGGTCACTTTGCTAGTAATATAGATCTATAGAAATATTAATTGAAAACCTCATATCCAAATGTTATCTAAAAAGTTATCATGTCTCTAATCAAGAAACAGCCCTCTCCACTTATTATTCTTTTGTCTATTCACGTCTAAACTTTGGAATAATTCTTTGGGGATATAGCCCACATACCCTAGAAATTACAAATATAAACCAAATGGAGTCATGTAAACCTTATTTTAAAAGTCTGAAAATCCTTAATATGTCTGAAGCCTGAAATTAATAAATGAGTAAATACTATATCACTTCAACTCTGTTTAATCGAATCATATAGTGTCGATATATTTCATCCTATATACCAAATAATGGTAAAAAATTAAACGCATTTTATGCTTGTTTATTAAATACGACACATTGTCAATAAATAGTAAAGGCGTATTTCACGACTGATTTAAAACAATGTTTGTAGAGGCACTAGTAGGTTGTACAGCCTATAGGAATTGAATTGTTTTTATAAAACAGCTGTTGTCTTATTGCTAACAAGGTAAGTATTTATAATAAAATAATTATGACATTTTTAGTGTTCGGATTTGTTAATTTATCATAATGCATTATTTGATTGAAAGTGATTTTAAAAATCCCGGGACTTTGAGATGCGAGGGTATGTCCACGTTAATCTAGCATCGTCAAATCCCGTGAAATAGCACTACCTACGTCGACCACTGGTAATCACAAAGGTATTGATATAACTATTATCTAAAAACATTTTGAAAAGCCAATTATTAATACTAACACAAGAACACTAAATGAGTTGCATGAGGCCAGTGCAAGGTATTATGAAGATCCTCGGGAAAATAATTTTTAATATAATTAAACATAGTTTACAAATGCTATTTCAGAGAAATCATTCAGCAAAAATAATAAGTCTTCAAAAAAGAAGAAGAAACAGACTTCCAGAACGCTAAATGGTTTTGATCTGCCAGGAATGCCATTCACCATGCCTAATATATCCGCACTACGAAACGTAAGTATTTTTTTTTTATTTACCATAATACTAATTTTTACATTACTAATTTAAGATGATTAAGAAATTAGTCAAACAGTAAATAAGTTCTTAAGTATGATTCCAATACTGGTTAAGTAACTAGCAATCTCTCAAGTTTGGTTAGTTAGAGTATTGATTTTTAATTTCGATATTATCCTAATATTTTACGCTTTAATTTCTTGGTTTCTATAGTCATCTCTAGATCTGCAGGTGACACCTGTATGTAAATATGAATAACACATTAAATAATTGCATAATAGACTATTCGTAAATGAATACCTATGTATGAGATTCGTCAGGCCTGTTAGGTCCTGGGTAGCTCAGTGGTTAGAGCAGTCGCCCGGATTGCGAAACGTGGTGGGTTCGAGTCCCATTTCAGAGTGTCAGGGACAAAGTAGATTTTCTAGAGTAAATTAATTTGCATAACAATTGGGGTGTAGACAGTAAACGAAAATAAATACATATTATTTATGTAGTGTTTAATATACTCTTACCGATAATCATTCAGTTCCAGTCAGTGCAAGATAGGTACTATTGTTTGCAGAAACTTCGCATTGTTTCGTGTTTGTGCATTTTTGTTTACAGTATTTAATAAGTAGGTTAGGTTAGGTGATGATGATGATGATGATGATGATGATGATGATGAACAAGCCCTGTCAGAATAACAGCGTTGACGCGACACACATGTGTGTCACAACACAAGCTGAGGCAGGGTCCTGATTGACCTCTGTAATTTTTATTATTGTATTGTTTGTTAATAGTTTTATATTTCTATGAATTATATTTTGTTGTGTATGTGATTGAGGTCAATAAATGTTTCTTCTTCTTCTTCTTAATCACACTTTTATGCTTATTATATTTATAATATTACTTAAATGAATTATAAAAAAATAGTAATAATTTATACTCGTCACGTGATCGCAAACTGCGCGGGTCATCACGCCCCTCTTACTCATATCAGAACTCGCAGAATTCAACCTTATGCATACATAGAACGATATTAGTTTCAGAGGGCGGTGACGTCATAGCGATGCCATGACAGAAGTGGCTATTGCGCGGGAAATTTTGAAAATTATATTTATTTCTAGATTTTAATTATACTTTTTTTTAATATATTTCATGTATGTATAATAAAAAAGTTGTCGACACCCCTTTTCACGGACAATTTCACTCGTTTTCTATATGAATAGAGCGT